TTGTGTGAATGGAGTAATGCTCGTTTTTAAACCCCAGCCATTATAAATGGGCATATGGAAGATGTGAGAAATAACAATCGTACAGGATATCTAGGGAAGCATTTTCAGTCCTCAGGCATAGTTCAATAGCAATGAACAGTGCAAAATGAAGGCTGAACTCCTGTAACATATAATAAGACTTTTTAGTTTGCTTGAAGCCAAGCTGTACTCTTTACAGGGATATACACACATATGCATACATATATATTTATAGATACATATACATATATAACTTACTGTTGGATCAATACCGAGCACATTTTGCTGTTACCTTTAAAAATAGGCAATGTCTTTCATTTGTCGACCATTGCCACAAATGATCATGAATTCTGCCTGCGTATTTTCTTCTCTTGCAAAGGCTGGTGTGGCACCTCCTTAGTAACTGTAAGAGTCTGAAGCATCTTGAACTAGAAAAAAAGTTTCCAAATCTCTGCAAGATCTACGCTTACCTAAATACACTGTCTAGACTTGTCTCTACACAAGCCAGGGATGTGTAACTCGGAGGCAAAGGAGGCGCGTGCAGACATCCACAATAACTCTGTGACCTCTCTATCCCTTTCTCAAAGACACAACATCACGTTTATTGCCAAGTACACGGAATGAGGGTCTCAGATACCCAAACTCCCAGGAGGTTCTACAAAAGCAAGGAAGAGAAATTCAATGCTAATATAAACCTTTAAAAGAATACCGATTAAACAGGAAAGAGGGGAAAAAAAAAACCCCAAAACATCAAAGACAAATGTAATTGCTTTTGAATAAAAACAGATTGCTTTCTACCTACCTGCCTTAAAGGCAAGTGCTCCAGCCTGGGAGACAGAATACCAAAAATCACCGGTAGAAGCAGAGGCACAAGTACTTTGTAGGCAAAGTTATCCTATTCTGATTTAATAGCTCAAAGGCTTATCTGGATTTCAGACAAGAAGAGGATGCAATTTACTGCTTCTTTCACACAAATGAGCAGAGCTACTTAAAACATTTGGGAACACTTTGAATATTGATCTGTCCTAGAATAAGATGTAAGAAATTTGATTTGCTATGGAAATGTTGTATCAATCGTCAAACCTTCATACGCCCCAAAGTGGCCTTCAAATGAAAGCCGGAAAATCCTCCGGGAAGATGTCATGAGAGCCATCAGCTCAGGGACTTCTCGCATCCCCTCTGCCCAGCAGGACCGGCATCAGCACTTGGAAGCCAAAGCGATCAGGATGGGAGCTGTACCTGTTCTTTCCTCAAAAATAATGTCACGTTCCGTCCCCACTACATGCCACCACAGCCGCCCATTCCTCACCATGCTGAAAGACAATCAATCATGACTGCGAATCACCTTGTTAAAAATAGTGGCCACACGGCCCGCCTGCAGCGCCGGCACACCGGGGGCCTCCGCTTTGCCCCGTACCCCCGAGCGCGCTGCGGCAGCACTGCAGAGCCCTTTCCCGTCCCCTTTGAAGGGGATCTGCTCTGCTGATCCTGCTAAAGCCTTACAGGGGCTTTCCCTGCAGCTGAAGGTCACTGTGCCCGGCTCGGCCTGGGCTCAACAGCATATTTTTGATGGTCTTGCTCTGCAAAATTTCCATGGGTAGAGCTTGAGCTCCATATGTCCCTTTTCTCTGTTTTTCTAAAATCTGGGCAAAATTCCTACTGACTTCAAACAGCCATTGGCTGCTCACACCAGCTGCCCTCAGAGTCAGCAGTTATTTGGGATACTCTAACACTCCAGCTACTTTTCTCCTAAGAGGTGTGCAGAATTATTAAGAACATTGCAGATACTGTGGTAATCGAGTAATACTGCATTTTTAATCACAGCCATTATAAATGGGCATATGGAAGATGTGAGAAATAACAATCGTACAGGATATCTAGGGAAGCATTTTCAGTCCTCAGGCATAGTTCAATAGCAATGAACAGTGCAAAATGAAGGCTGAACTCCTGTAACATATAATAAGACTTTTTAGTTTGCTTGAAGCCAAGCTGTACTCTTTACAGGGATATACACACATATGCATACATATATATTTATAGATACATATACATATATAACTTACTGTTGGATCAATACCGAGCACATTTTGCTGTTACCTTTAAAAATAGGCAATGTCTTTCATTTGTCGACCATTGCCACAAATGATCATGAATTCTGCCTGCGTATTTTCTTCTCTTGCAAAGGCTGGTGTGGCACCTCCTTAGTAACTGTAAGAGTCTGAAGCATCTTGAACTAGAAAAAAAGTTTCCAAATCTCTGCAAGATCTACGCTTACCTAAATACACTGTCTAGACTTGTCTCTACACAAGCCAGGGATGTGTAACTCGGAGGCAAAGGAGGCGCGTGCAGACATCCACAATAACTCTGTGACCTCTCTATCCCTTTCTCAAAGACACAACATCACGTTTATTGCCAAGTACACGGAATGAGGGTCTCAGATACCCAAACTCCCAGGAGGTTCTACAAAAGCAAGGAAGAGAAATTCAATGCTAATATAAACCTTTAAAAGAATACCGATTAAACAGGAAAGAGGGGAAAAAAAAAACCCCAAAACATCAAAGACAAATGTAATTGCTTTTGAATAAAAACAGATTGCTTTCTACCTACCTGCCTTAAAGGCAAGTGCTCCAGCCTGGGAGACAGAATACCAAAAATCACCGGTAGAAGCAGAGGCACAAGTACTTTGTAGGCAAAGTTATCCTATTCTGATTTAATAGCTCAAAGGCTTATCTGGATTTCAGACAAGAAGAGGATGCAATTTACTGCTTCTTTCACACAAATGAGCAGAGCTACTTAAAACATTTGGGAACACTTTGAATATTGATCTGTCCTAGAATAAGATGTAAGAAATTTGATTTGCTATGGAAATGTTGTATCAATCGTCAAACCTTCATACGCCCCAAAGTGGCCTTCAAATGAAAGCCGGAAAATCCTCCGGGAAGATGTCATGAGAGCCATCAGCTCAGGGACTTCTCACATCCCCTCTGCCCAGCAGGACCGGCATCAGCACTTGGAAGCCAAAGCGATCAGGATGGGAGCTGTACCTGTTCTTTCCTCAAAAATAATGTCACGTTCCGTCCCCACTACATGCCACCACAGCCGCCCATTCCTCACCATGCTGAAAGACAATCAATCATGACTGCGAATCACCTTGTTAAAAATAGTGGCCACCGGAGACTTTCCTATGACACCTCCGGCAGCGGAGGAGCCATGATAAATGTTTGCTGACACAAAACAAAGTCACGCGGTATTTAACCCCTCAGCTGGCAAACAGCTGAGGATAAAATCTGTCTCGGAAAAATCTCCTTCTGATTTCAGGAGACTTACAAACGCACTAGCGACAGTTTTCACAGTATAATTTCTGCCTAAAGAATGAATACGCTCATATTAGTTATGCCCAGCAGTAAGCTAGAACAACCCCGCTACCATATTGGAAACGGCAGTGTTACACCGCGCTTAAATAACAAATCAACAATACAGTTGAAAAGAAAACATTAAAGGCCCTTATAACTGTATTTTTCCAAGCACGTAAACATGGTCACGTTAAAAGTCATCACTTGTATTCTGTGTACTTTGGGTTTTTCCCCATTTCACCCTCTGTAAGAAAAGTCCATGGGGCTGGGAGGATGAGCCAGCCATTTCAGTGGGAATATTCCCACCTCAGTAGGTTTGAATCAGGCCACAAATAAGAAAGTATTTCCTTCACACTTTGGGACACAGGCCTGTTTGGAGTCTGGCTGGGTGCCAGATACTGAGTTTGCAAATGACTGGATTAAATATCACAGAGGCAGATATTCAGCATTTCAGGCACAGGGTCAGCGAAAGGCCACTGCCGGCTTTGCTTTCAGTACTCAGAATAAGAGTCCCGTACATGTGTAACGAGCGTATGAGAACGGCAATATGGAGAATTACCCTACAAAACTGCTCCTCTTGCAAATTCTACATCTAGGAAGGGACCCCAGGATCCATCTAACCCAAATCTCCACTTTCTCTGCATCCAGAGAAAGCGATACCAGCTAGATCCTTCTCACCTCCATCAGTCTTCGACGAAGAGCCAGCAATAGCAAACCTCTCCTACATTTCCTCCACTTCAAGAGGAGGCAACGCCACCGGGCCAGATTAAAGTTTGAAAGCCTGTGATAACTTTAAGACTTTTTTTTTCAACTGTACCTGGTTTAGAGCCTTCATCAACAGATCCATTATAGACTTGGTTTATAAACTCCGGTCTGTTGTCATTCATATCAATCACATAGATGTAAAGGTCAATAGGATTCTCCACCTTGTTTCCATTCATATCCACCGCATGAGCCCGGAGCTGGGAATAAGCACAATGAAAGCATAATATCAGCAATTGGATTTGTTGCAGAATGAGAGACCATCTTTTGTAGGAATTGACTTCACCTCATAAATACTTTCTCAAAACTGAACTGAGCGGGCATCTAATTCCAGCAGAAAGCAGCAACGCGGTTTCCATCTAGACTCTACACACAGACAGTTTTTCAAGGCTTAACATAGTATTGAAATAATATTTTAAAATAGCAATTGTCAGTGGAAACACTTTAACTCTGGTGTAGTGATGCTATCTCCTTCACTGCTAATAGACCACTGTATTTTAATTTTCAAAATGCGATGAACCTTGTCCGACAATCTGAAAGGCAAATTTTGCTTAGTTCCAAACACAGCAAGGAAATGAGTTTGACTCGAGAGGTTTCTTATGGGAACCTGCCGCCTTTCATACCCACAATAACAGGGATTAATAAGCGAAGAGATTTCAGAATGGCATTAGTATTGTTTATTCTTTGTTTAATCACGGTCTCTAGGAACAGCAACGGCTGCCGACCCCACTGCTCTATGTGCCAAAAGGCATAAAAAAAGTCCCTTTCTTTCAAGTGATGGAAGCCCCTGTGGCACTAAGAATGAAATATTTTTCTCAGGCTTAACTAAAATATCCAGTGATGAAGCATTACAATAACCAGAGCCCCAGTGTTAGGTCCTCAGTTAAAGTGGAACCACGGCTTTATCTTATTAGCAATAACCATCGGCAACAATACTGGAAAACAAGAGCATCTGTTTTCTGAACAAAAGGGACAGATACAGCATGTCAAAATGAGTAATTAATAAAACAAAGCAATCAACAATAGTCTGGAACAATCAGTAATCAGGTGAAAAAAATGGATAGCTTTCTCATTAAAGGGAACAGATGGCTACTCTAAATGGTGTGCGCGCTGAACGGAGCTGCCCATGTCGGCTTCAGGAAAAAAAAAAAAAAAAAAAAGAAGAGAGAGGGAAGGGCTGCACGGCCGCTGGTGATGGCTGGGCAGAGGACAGGCATCGCCTGGGTGCCAGCGCTGCCGCTTTCCTTTGTCCCCCCCTCTTCATTTCAGCACCAGTGAGCGTTGCTGAACCTCCACACCGCCACGAAAGCAAGGGACGGGGCTCAGGACGGCGGTGTGACATCCCGCAAGGCTGGCGGGGTGAAGAATGAAGGCTTTGGAGGACATTGGCTTGGTGCAAGGGCTGGCTGGAAGAGCAGGGCTGAGGGTCAGGGGACATACCCACCGCCCTGCGGTGAGCTTTTTGTATGATATGAACCCCACCAGCGTGCCGACACACACCAGCTCGTGCCTTCAGAGGGAAGGAGCCCTCTCCGGTCCCTCCCAGCAGCTCCCCAGCCCATCGGGATGCTGCCGGGAGTCGGAGCTCCTGTGCCAAGGAGGTCTCTAGCTCCTCTGATGCATGACAAATAAATGTGCTAATTGCATTAGCACTGGTTTCCGTCTTTTGCTCTCGCTGTGTTGTGATTGATGCAACTTTCTCCTTCATGTATGGTGTTCAGAAGTCCAGAGCTTAACAAAAGAAACTGCATGCTATTAGGATGGGCTGGATTAACATTTAATCAAGCAAAGAGAACAAACTGCCATGTGAAATGAGCTGGGAGAAAAACAGGTTTTTGAAAGGAAGTTAAGCAGGACTTTTTCTGTAAAGACTGAAGAAGCCCAGCTTCGTTTTCAATACAGGATGTACCATTTGTATTTCGTGACTCGTAATGCTCTTAATATCTGCTTTTCTGGCCTGCATACAAACTCCTTTGACTCCCACCTGTTGAGCCACCCTTCACCATGCCAGATGTAGCAATTCAATAACTTTACCAATCAGAGGTCAGACTGCCTTTGAAAAAAAGTAATCCGGAGCTAAAATTAAAGTTATTATCTTCAAACTGTGGCAGCACTGGGCTCTCTCTTGCTGCATTTCCAGCAGCGGAAACGGTTCCGTTCAGAGATAAAGCAGAGAGCAAAGCTGGTATCTTCCCCCTCAGATCTGACTCTCCCCCTGCAAATTTTTAATTACATTTGATAGCTATTGTATGAAATCTCCAGGAGTAAGGGATTTCTCAGCAATGCACGTCTATCTGCTTGTCGCACTCACTGAGCACATGTACCCACAAATGTATTCCTGCCTGTGCTCAAGGAAAAAAAAAAAAAACCGATCACAGAGCAAGCGCGCGCA